CAGTGCCTCTGCGGGCCAGCTCACGTGGGGAGCAACTGCCAGTGGACCAAAGTGACCCCCGACTCGTACCCACTCATGGCACACGCGGCCCTGGCACTCCTGACGCTGTCGGTGCTGCTGTCGGGTAGGTCGGCTTTGCAAGAGGGATTTTTATTGGCATTCGTTTGTTTTTGAAGAGGAATTAGAATTTAATGTGTATGTTGTTGCTGTTTTTCAAGATGTTTTTTTTTCTTATTACTGTTTTGTTTCTTATAATATTTCGAAATATTGTACTGAACTCTATCGCTCGTTTCATATAAATCTTATTTTCTTTAAAGTTTCAAGGCTTTAATAGCATTGCAAATGTTGTCCATTACATGTATTTAAGATCTAAAGAACAGTATTAATGATAATGAAGTCAAGACCTTGATATTGCCAATAATGAGTCTGCACGCAAATTTCACAAAGCAAAAGACCCCCCCCCCAAAAAAAAAAAAAAAAAAAAACATAAGTAGACTTTGCATCTAAATATCTTACATTCCTCTCGAGTGCTCCTTCGCTTCCAGTGGTCCTCCTCGTGCTCCTCGTCCTCCGGCACCACTATGCTGACGGCGCGACGTGTGGGGACATGTGTCGAGAAGGATGTGGCGAAGGGGGAGAGATCGACGCCCCTGTGGTAGTAGAGGAAGGAGGAGGAGGAGGAGGGAAAAGAGGAAGACGAAGAGGGCACAAGCGCTGTTCTTCCTCTTCTCGTGGTACCAAGTTGCCTGAGGGAGAGAAGGTCCTCCTTGAGGAACTTAAGATGGAGGAAGTACCTGGCACAGATCTTCCGCCGTCTTCCCTCGTAGGTGCTCATCAAAACAAGACCGATTTACAATTATGACGTTATTCGTTGGTTTATTATTATTGTTATTACTATTTCGTTTTTCTCTTCATTTTACAGTGGCAACGGCTGCTACTCCAATGTTGTATTCTTTCGTGCAACCCATATTCAATATCTTTTTCCCACCTTTTGAAATTATGTCATACCCTCCAACCCTCCTAGTTTTGATCTAACTGAATACCCAATCTATGATCTCCTGCAGATTAATAAATCGAATCAAATTAGAAAAAAAATCAATAATTCTCTATGATCTCCTGCAAATTAATAAATCGAATCAAATTAGAAAATAAAAATAAGAATCAATAAACATTCTCCTGATTTCGCTCACCCTCCTTTGCCTTCCTTCGTCCGCAGACAAAAGCCCTCTCCCCCTCACCCCTAGCGGCTGCCCCATGAACCCCGCCCACGCCCACGACGCCCAAAGCAAGCGGGACATTCGCACGGCGCCCACGGGGGAAGCGGCGCCCGGGCGGGAGCACGAGGCGAGAGGCGAGGGCGGGGACGACGGCCGGGAAGCGAAGGACGCCGCCCCCGCACTCCTGACGGCGGGGCGGGCCTCCTCTCCGGGCGGCGGGGGTCAGGAGGGGCGTCCGAGGGGAGGGAGCCTGACGCTGCGAGGGGGCGGCGCCAGGGGAAGGCAGGTCGTCCTCTGCGCCGGCGTGGGGGGCGGAGAGAGGTCGTCCCTGTCGTTCCTGACGCACGACGACCTCAGGGCCTACGCCTACGAGGGGGACGCATCGCCTTCAGGGTCACTCACCTCGACTGTCATGGGTGCGGCGAGGATTCCTCTAAGGGGACTGGCGCCCTCATCACTATCATTCTCCTCCTCTTCGTCGCCATCGTTATCACTTTCACCCTCAATATCACTACTACTACCACTATCAAAATCATCCCTATCATCATCCCAATCATCTTCCTCATTAGTATCACCTTTCTTAACTTCCTCTACCTCATCGTCATCCTCTTTGGTTTCATCATCACCATCTCCATCCTCCTCTTCCTCTTCTGCCTCCTCCTCCTCCTCCTCCTCCTTCTCTTCTTCCTCATCATCATTTTCATCATTATCTTCATCATCGACACCTTCATCGTTAGTGTTATTAGTAATAAAGAGTTTCATCGGTCTCTGAGCAGCACATGGTAACGAAATGAAATGAAATAGACTTACCAAATCAACTCAATATCTTGCAAATAAATACCAAAGAATTACCACATAAACCTTTAAAAATTTAATGTAATCCAACATGTATTTGATTTCTCGTGCTCCCGCTCCGTTCTAGGCCTGAGGACGAGATCGGTCGAGGAAGGCAGCGTGAAGCCCCTCTTGGTCGAGTACGAGGAGGTACTTGGCCTCCTGAACGACCTCCCAGACGCCTCTCGCCTCCCTCAGATTCCTCAGATCCCTCGACCACCTCCTGAAGCAGAGGAAGTCTTCCCGAAGGCGACGATGACAACCAGTAAGGATCCCACCGCTGTTGCCACATCTGAAGACAAGGCGACGCCCCTGAACAACTCGAATGGTAAACGTGATGCTCATGCGGGGAGTCTGACATCCAGAGCAGCGAGAAAAGGGTGGAAGAACGTATTTCCTTTCCGGTAGTGGAGAGGAAGACGGAGAGGGTGAATGAGTGAAAGGGAGAGCGGGAGTGAGTGAGTGAGAGAGTGAGAGACTGAGTGAATGAGAGAGAGAGAGAGAGGGAGATTTAGAGGAGGGGGGAGGGAGGGTGGGAGAGGGAGAGAGCTAGAGAGTGGGAGGGAGGAGAAAGAGAGAAGAAAGGGAGAGCGAGTGATTGAGTGAGTGGGGGGGGGGGAGAGAGAGAGAGGGGGTAAATATAACATAATAGAAGCCTATAAGGTGAAATATTTTCTGTACGAAGAGACAGACAGACATAGTGACATACAATACAGACAAAGAGTGACAGACAGACAGACAGGAAGAGAACGTGTAAGAGAACGATAGATCGATAAATTATTTGAAATTGTACATTTGTGTGCACAAAGCAGAGAAATTGAACGATATAGCCTTAGAGTACGTATGTGTCTGTTAAAGGGTGTAAAACTAAAAGAGAGAATGAAAGCGAGAGAGAGAGAGAGAGAGAGAGAGAAGAGAGAGAGAGAGAGAGAGAGAGAGAGAGAGGAGAGAGAGAGAGAGAGAGAGAGAGAGAGAGAGAGAGAGAAGGGTAAATATAGCATAATAGAATCTTCAAAAAGTGAAATATTTTCTGTACTTTAGATGTAATATCCTAATCAATGAAGTTAGATCTTGATGGTAAAAGGAAAAGAAAAAAATGTCAATAACTTAGAAAGGGAATGATACACTCTAAAGATTTTTTATTTGTAAATTTTCTATGAAATGCACTAAATTGTAAAGTTGCAAACCGACACATGTAAATCTTATGTTTATTTTGGTATGCGTTAACATAAAGACATTAAGATTTTCATTCAATAGAAGCTTACAGAATGAAAATATTTGAATTAATTAATGATGATTTAAAAGATGGTCACAACTAAGATCTTACTTCATGTCACTACATGTATCGAGATGTTTATACATTTATATATCACCAATAAAGTTTAAGAATATACAAAGTCACATCAGGCGTAAATCATTAACCTTCAACATTGTACGGGATTTATTTACGTGTATTTGTTGTTGTAGGAGTCGTAGGAATGGAGGAACCGCAGAATATTCGTGCAACAGACGTAACCTCGAATAATGATAATGATAAATGAATGATAATGATAATGATATGAATGATAAATGATAATGATAATGATAATGATAATGATAATGATAATGATAATGATAATGATAATGATAATGATAATGATAATGATAATGATAATGATAATGATAATAATAATAATAATAATAATAATAATAATAATAATAATAATAATAAAAAACAGAGCTTCAAAGGTGTCTGGAAAATATTACATGCGCTTTTTATTACTCGAGTTTGATTCAATTAAATGTAATATATAAATGTACCCCACGATGTTAAATAGATGCATTTTATTCTGTTTGTTTACATTTCGTTGACAATATTGCATAATTCAGAACTATCCACAATACCACAAATGCTAGTGCGCTGATAACTATTAAAACATTAATAATAATAATAATAATGATAATGATAATGATGATAAATAGATAAAAATAATAGCTATATAAAATAAAATAATAATCTATGGGTGATCTAACTCGGTAATTTTAAATAGCAGAATGACCTAAAAATCTGGAAGCATTGAGTATCTTTTCATTAATTCTTGATATCAAACCTGGAACCATTAGGCAGGCTAACCTTTTCATTGGAATGGGATAAAGCCTGTCGATTTCTTTGCAACGTCGAGGATTAATTTATTATCGAAGAGCTATTTCAGCAAATACTGAAATATATTATAATATATACATATATATATACATATATATATATATATATATATATATATATATATATATTATATATATATAATATATATATATATATATATATATATATATGATAAATCGACGTAGAACAATCAAAACATTTCGACATCGTTATTCAAATTTATGATCATATGTGTTTTGTTTGTGGGTGTCGGGGCATCAATGAAAGGAAAATAGATCGTTTGAGAAACGTCTAAAGCCATTTTGGTCTTATTTTGGCATCTTTTTATATGTGAAAAGGATGTATATGTTTACATAAATGGTTTCATAGGTTTACCTTACATTGTTAGGCTATCGTGTGCTCGTTTTCTATTTTCGATAAGTCACAGAAAATGAAAAGGGAAGAAGTGAAAGGTAGACTATTGGAAAACCAAAGAACTTTATTACTCTTTCTGTATATGTATATATTTGCACACACACAGACGCACATATATAGATATATACATATATATAAATATAAATATTCACACTAGTTACTGATCACAAGCCATAACTATCATGGATCCCAAATGTGGATTACCAAAGTTAATGGCTGCTAGGCTACAAAGATGGTCAGTAGTACTTGCTGCATACAACTACGTCCTCGAATATAGGGCTACCACAGACATGGGGAATGCAGATGCAGTCTCGTTTGCCAATAGATAGGGCACCAGGTGTTCAGGAAGTAGCTTGTGCTATGCTGATAAATACACATAAACTACCCATTACATCAAAACAAACTGGATGCTACACAGGGAAAGATTCATTACTTTCAAAGGCATTGCAAGGTCTGATATCTGGTAAGGATACTCTACTGTCACATGCTGAGTGCAGATGCCTGGGGTGAATCATCGGTAGAAAAAGGTTGCATTCTTAAAGAAGCAAGGGTAGTTGTGCCCACTAGACTTTGTAATCAGGTACTAGAATTGCATGCAGACCACCAGGGAATTGTAAGGACAAAGTCCATAGCCCGTACTTTTGTATAATGACATTCCAATCCCGTACTTTGGTATGGGGACCTAACATTGATAGCGGTATTAAATTGTACATAAAGATGTATGGAAGATGTGCTCTATAACAAAAGAATCCAGTGCTAATAAAGTCACACCCTTGGGATTATCCTAGTACAGCTTGGCAAAGGTTACATATTGACTATGACGGGCCGTTTTAGTTCAGAGTTTTATTATCTTATTGTTATAGATGCATACAGTAAATGACGTGAGGCAGTACCGATGAATTCTGCAAATTCTAAATAAATAAAAAAAAAAAAATTTATAAGGATATTTGCAACCATGACATTCCAGAGCAGATCGTTTCTGAAAATGGAATTCAGTTCACCTCCGATGAATTTCAGTCTTTTTGTAAAGCTAACAATATCAAACATACATTTTAAGCAACTTACCATCCTGCTACAAATCGTGAGGCTGAACGTTTTATTTAGACTTTCAAGAGTTTTATGAAATGTAGACAAGCCACCAGTTCCACCGCTGGTAAATGTATTGATAGATTTCTACTTGCATATAGGACTACACCGCAAGCATCAATGGGATGTTGACCTTCATTTTCATTGATGGGAAGGAGGATCAGGTGCAGACTTGACTTCATGAGACCCGATTTTATTAAGGGTAAAAGACAGGAAGGATGAAGGCTCATGATTGAAATAATTTTTAGAGAGTTCAAGAAGGAAGATAGTGTAATGGTGAGAACATATACCTTCTCAGATACTAAGTGGACTAAAGGATATGATGTAGAAGGGTTTGGAAAATTACACTTTACTGTCAGAGTGGATGGTTAAAATCTGAAGAGACAAGTAAATCAGCTAAGACCATCTTATCTGAACATTTCCAGGACTCCAAAAAATTAACAGAGATTGATGAAATGAATATTAGTCTATCAACCCGAGACTATGTCCAGGCCTGAAGATTCTCAGAATGATGAGACACTTACAAAATCAAAATAATGAGGCACATGTTCAAGATCCTCAACCTTAGGATTCAGGGGCCGGATTCTCAAACGCATTAAGGCGCCGTATCTCCTTAAGGCGCCTTAACTTACGGCCAGCGATCTTACGGCCCATGCACAGAGCAAGGGATCCGCCATATTGGTGCGAGTTAAGGCGCCCTCGGTTAAGGCAGAGGGAGAGCAGCCTTAGCGAGTTACGGCGAAGCATAAATGACAATTATCAGCCCAAGAACAATTAATATATTACAATTTGTATTTTACTCAATTATAGTGTCATTAGGTGTACATAAACCAATTGTGGACTACTAGATAAGGGAACAAGTGTAGTATTCCAACATAACTGTGATTTGCTTTTCCCGATAGATGCAACCACACACCGTTTTTGGGTGAATAGAATAATTTTGCAATAGCTTTCGTCGTGTTCCGAGCGAATCTAGCGCTCATTTCCTTCGCAAACGAAGTATAATTACGATATCGGTCCCGATAGCTGAGGGGGACATGATGCATATCAGTTAATTTGGGGGATAATTTCGAAATATCGGAACTAACAAGCATAGTATATTGACACATTTCTTTTGCCACGTGATGACCTTTTCCATATCTGGTTCTACTGAGTGTCAATGTTCACATCATGTTCACGCTCGAATCTAATTGGCTCACATGATTTCCTTTGTCTACGTCATCCGCTACAAATTCGTCTGATTTTCCGTCACTCTTAACGACTTTTTGTCATTTGTCGCGGTGTTCGTAAGGAAATCGTGCATTTTATACCCTCTGTAATACCGTTATCAATTTGCGCAGAAAATGGTATAGAGGCAAATTCTTAGAATGATGTGTACTACCACTGGGTAAGCTCAGATTCTTTAAATTAGGTGTGGGGTTACATTTTCAATAATACCAATTTTGTTGAAAAGTTCTATCATACTACGGGCTGGACACAGCGTTGTGTTTATGAAATCAGCTGATAGGCATTTACGGCTTGTGATTGGTCAAGATACCCTAAGACCCTGAAACGGCGCTGTGATTGCCACCGAAGATCCGAAGATACGGCGCCTTTGACAGGCCTTAACTTAAGTCGCCGCAGGACGGTTAAGGCCTCCAGGACGCCTTAACTTAAGGCTCTTTTGAGAATCCGGCCCCAGGTACTCAGCCAAAGGAACCCGATGACAGTTACCTAACAAAGGGGGTAGTTTAGAAGCACAATAAACAGACAATTTGATTGATGTCACAACAGCCTGTCACAAGAGCAATCTCTAAATTATGATTA